CGGGGATAGAAAGCTGGGTCAAAGGCCGTACGATAAAGCCACCCATTGGGTCGATGACTGGTGGAGGGTGAGTGCATTGTAGAGAGAGGGAATAAGTAATGCCTACACCACTTTAGTTTACTGCCACCAGCAGACATGAGGATACCTGCACGAGTGCGTGAGTCAGGAGTAGTAGTGTAAATGGCACACTCACCAAACGAGTTGATCCAGAGATCGTTTCGGTGGTCCTGGAAGAGCATCTCAACTTGAGAGCTATGCTTCTTGTACATGTAGCAGTAGAAGAAGAGGAGGAGCTTGACGCCGAGCGCGGATGCGACAGCCACCAAAGCGGGGATAAAGATTTTGTTGGTCTCTGGGTCACCGGCGCCGTGTTGGATGATGGTGCGAATAGATTCTACACACACGACGAGATTGATAGCGCCCATCCTGTCCAAGCCATGGTTAGATTACAATAACGGGCTTGAGAAGAGACGTACAAGGAACCGTAGCAAATGTTGCCTATTGTCGTTAGTCGTTCGCCTCCTACTGGCCATGTGTTGACGTCGAGACGGGTAGATTTGCGGTGGAGCCACCATAGGAGGATGTTGCTCGCTGGGTCAAAGATGGAGTCGCAGGCGGTGGCGAGCAAGGAGAGGGAGCCAGACTTGATAGCCGCGAACACTAGGTAACGCTAAGTGATGAAGAAGTGACAGATACTAGTAAGACGTACGTTGGAGTGCGCTGAGGGCGATATTGGCGACCAACGAGACGTATACGGCAATTTTGACCTGTTCCAGACACACAGAGCGGACAGATCAGCCAACTGACTTGATACGAATTACATAAGAGAAAACTGAACTGGAAGCCGGTTTTTGCGCTCTGCCTCCTTGGCATTCTCAACATGCTCCTCCAGCGGCCGGAGCATATCGCCAATGAGCACATTTTGTTTTTCGTAAAATTCCTCTGCCTTTTTCTTTTTCGACTTTTTGAGAGAGGCCATTTCGTCGTTTGTCTTGAGCCCCCTTTTGAGTGAATAGGGGTCTTGGCTGGCGGAGACGGCGGTGGAGTATCCGTAGCTGGCCTGCTCTTCGAGGTCTGCGTTGCTCGTGCTGACCTCTTGGATGCCTCCCTCACTGAAATTTGAAGTCAGGTGAGGGCGAATGCCGTGGCCTGGGACGTGCACTTCTTCAATCTCTGCATTCTACGAGGTGTCGACGCAGATAAAGGAGGGTGCCAAATAAATGACAACAGTGTGGAAAGTAGCGAGGGATCAGCTATATTCTGGCCAAAATGCCAACGATGCAGGAAAAGAGACGTACGGTTTGGGACATGATGAGGAGACGAGTGTGGTGAGTGCAGTGTGGATTGACGAGGATGCTAGACTGGAGAGGAGGGGATCGTTGGTAAAAAGAGAACGGGGGGGCATGAACTATAAATACACGAGTTATTTATGGACCCGCTGTTTGGGTACAAAGCAAGCCCAACTGGCCCTCCAAATTCTGGGCTTGGCGTCACCGCAAAACGTTTGCACTCAGTCTCGGCAGGCATCCTTCGTTTTGCCGACGGCACGATTCTGGCCCATCACCCATTGACTGGGTTCTGATTGCTCATCCTGATACCCAGCTCGTATATACTTTTACGTCTACTATATCTCTATCGATTGCATTTGGGAGAGGCCGTCGGGCGAGACTCTGGTCTAGATGACGTTGGGTTGTTTGGCATTTCACGGCTTGGTTTTCTTCCCGTTTGCCGTCACTGGCGCTAGCGCTGGTACCGTACAGCTAGGCTCTGCGGTCCGACAACTCGGGTTCATTCGACCTTTAGCGAGCATTAGAACTCTGATGCCACACGCTCGTTGGCGTATGCGATATCGTCTTGTACTCCAGAACCGAGCAAAATACGTCGCGCGAGCTGGTGGTCCCGGCAGGATGCTGATATTTGGGTTGGGAAATATGCCTTATCCGAGGTCCCGGCATAGGTGAGCGCTTCAACATGTGCATTTCGAGTTTTTTTTTGTCTGACGAGGTGTTCTTTTTTCATATAGTGTCGGTCAGTTGATCACAGATGGGCTAGCTGCCAAGTTTGGGGTGAAAATGCTGTATGAACCAAAGATACAAGGATTTCATGGATCTGTTGAAGGACTAGAAATGCCTGGCAGCCCGAACAACAAACGGTTAAAAGTTTCATTCGCCAAGACAAGTGCGTACACTGCCTCTTTGTCACCTCTAACAACTCTTTTGACATTTTTGAATGATAGAGAATTATATGAACTTGTCGGGTCCGTGGGTCAAGCGGACCTACGAAGAACTATTACACCACACCCAAACCTTTCACCCCCGCAACCGACGGATCATCGTCATCCACGACTCGATAGACCAAGCACCTCTCAAAATATCCCCGCGCTTTGGAGGGTCGGCGAGAGGCCACAACGGCGTGCGGTCCGTCATCGCCGCGCTAGGCACCCAAGACTTTTATCGCATCCGCATTGGGGTTGGGTATCCAAAGCAAGGGCCTCTGGAGCAGTTTGTAATGGAGAGGTTGTCGGATGAGGAGCTCGAGTATTGGAGTCCGGGAGGAGAGGGTATCGAAAAAGTGTGGGAGGCCGTCGTCAAGATCATCGAGGACGAGTGCGTCATGCGTTCACCTATATCTACTTTTATTGACCTAGTTTCTCCATTTCCTCATAACCACCCCGCCTTTTTGGCAGAACAGAATAGCAGTCGGAAAAGAAGAGTATGAGCAGAATCCCAAAAAGGACCTACCTCAATTCGCAGCCGT